TGGGCGACTCACTCCTTTTGTGAGCTGAGCTACACTCTCAAGGTCAGCCTTCCTGCCACCCTTCTCAGACAGCAGTCACGTCAAGGATGTCAGTGTGCTTGTTCTTGTCAACATAATTTAACTGGAAGGCTGCTGGCCTCAATAAGGGAACTCTATCTAAAACAGATTGTATAATGGTATCCAAATCAAATCTTTACTAACATAGGAAAATTGAAACAGTTTCTTATATTCTAGCTGATCACAGTAGAATAATACTAAAGAAAATCAGCGCTCAGAGAAACAGCAGAGAAACATAGAGATTAAAGAATAGTGGTATTGAATGATGCATGCATCACTTAAGAAATCAAGAAGGAAATTTAAAAATTCCTAGAATGGAAAAAAAAAAAACCCAGCATTCTAAAACCTTTGTGATACTGAGAAACCAGAAGAGTACAGCTACGTCTCCCTACACCACACTGTCAGAGAAATTTCAAGTTAACAACACTTTAATGGTGTTCCTCTGGGACTTGATAAACAAAGCCAAAACCCAAATCAGTAGACAGAAAGAAATAATAAAGATCAAGGCAGAAATCAATGAAATAGACATAGACGATATAAGAATCAAGATACAAAGGAAGGCTTGATTCTTTGGAAAGGAAAACAAGATTGATAAGCCCTTAGCCAAACTAAAGGGAAGAAAGAGAAGATGCATTAAGTAAGTCAGAGATGAAAGGGAGACACCGGAGCTGGGGATATGGCTCCGTGGATAACAGCACACGTGGTGCACACATGAAGACCTGGATTTGAATCCCCAGCTCCAGTTCATAGGATGCTCTCTGCTCTTACATTCCTATCCCTGCACACACTCACCCACATCCAGCCACACATTTAAAATGAATGTTTCCAAAGTATAGGCCCAGTGTGAAGCTCCATGGTTTCAGATTAGCTGTGGTAGCCAAGTTAAGACGTGTAAATGTTGGGGCTGGTTAAGTTTACTTATGTGTGTGTGTGATGTTTTTTATTTGCAAGGTCTTTGTAAAAAAAAATTGTAATAAAATTTTTTTTAAAGGAAAACAATAAGGGCTGGCAAGGATGGGTGTAAAAGAGAACACTTATATATTACTATAAACTACGTGGGGCATTTGCCCAAATCATGCAGCCTCGAGCCTTATAGCTCTTCATCTTTTATGCACAAAGCCACATCCTGGTTGTCACACTTCAGTTAGCAAGAAGCAGAACTACAGAAGCCAAAAGACACTGTTAGAACATTTAGGGAACTTCCTGGACCTGTGGACTAGGTTATTGATGGATTAGATCTTTGTTCCCATTCTGGCAGGTGTTAGGGCCTACATGCTGGGTTTTAAGGTCAGAATGTTGCCTCTAACATGGCCTTGGTTCTGCTAAGGTCTGGGAACCTGTTAGACTTCTCCTGCCATGTTCTCTAACACCATCATCCGAACCTGGAATTCTACCCAAGTCTGAAATTAATAACCAGTCAGACAAAAGCTCATTTGGTTTGTGATTGAAAGTGAAATACAAAGTGGGAAGTGTTTTCTAAACCTCGCTGGGTCTGAGGCGGATCTCACTGGGCTCTGGCGACACTCCCTTGGATGCTCCCAATGTTCACTGCATTCCGTCACCTTCCGCTCCAAGCACAGGTCCTGTGAGTGAAATGGGAATGTGACCTGGGCAGCTGCGGCCACTCTGTGATGCAAGTGGAGAGGCCGAGGCAAAAACTGTGCCCTCCGCTGAGTCTCCCGGCTGGCCGGGGGTGGGGCAGGATGGTTCAGAGCGCTGACAAGTCCAGAGCTCAGTCCAGTGCAGGTGTTTCTACGGGTGGTGAAACAGAGGTGGTTGTGTCAATGGCGAGGTCACCTTCTGCTGTAACAAACACTTGACAGAGCCTCTTAAGGACAGGAAGGTTTATTTTGGTCAGAGTTTGCGCGATGCACCCTTGCAAGGAAGCCACTGGTGGCAGGAGCATGAGGCAGCTGGTCTTGCACTTGTAGTCAGGAAGCCAAGAGTGCTGGCACTCAGCCCGCATTCTCCTTATTCTGCTCAGGACCCGGTAGACAGAATGGGCTACCTGCAGTGTTACCACTGATGGACAGCTTGTCAGGATCTGGAATCACCTAGGAGGCACAATCCCTGGCCACGCCTGTGAGAGCCTCTAGATGAGATTAACTCACTTTGGGGAGATAATGCCCTGAATGCAAAGACAAATGGCTGATGGACTGTGCTCTGAGTATCTCCTCAGTCTGTCTGGCCAAGCCCAGCTTGTCTCATTTCTTGCTCTCGTGGAAGTCCAGCTTCAGAATGCTGTCAGGGGCAAGCAGGAGGCTTGGAGGTTGTTGTGGCTGCTTGAATGTGGAATGTCCCCCTACTTGGTCACCAGCTAGTAGTGCTGTTTGGAGGAGCATGGGGGACCTTGAGCAGAGGGGCCTAGGTGGAGGGAGTGGATCCCTGGCAGGGTCACAGTCCGCTGTGTCCTAGCCCAAGTCCTTTGGTTCCTATCTGCCATTTGCGTTGTGACCTTATATTACCTTATATAGAGAGAGGTGGTCCTGTCCCTACCCTCATGGCTTCTCTGCCACAATGGACTCGATCACCATGGTTCACTCTGAACCATAAGCCTCTCTTTTGTGCCCTGGATATTTTGGCACAGCTACAAGAACAGCAACACAAGTCTCAAAGCAAAGAACAGAGAGTCATACGACAGCAAAGTTGCTCCTTTGATAACTGATCCACCTTCAGTTCTTCTGATGGTAGCAAAGAAAGTCCGTGCCAGTCTTGAATTCCACGCCATCCCTGGGTGATTGCCATTTTTACACAAGATCACCGTTACTCTGGAGCGGTACCTGGCTGGACGTGAATAATTCTCTTTCGCTTCTACTATAATTGGTTCGCTTTGATATGAAGTGAGTGATTCTGTTTCTGCATTTGGGGAAGTGCTATCAAGTGTCTTTTAAAAGTGTTCAAGAGGGGCCGGGTGGTGGCGGTGCACTTTAATCACACTCGGGAGGCAGAGGCAGGGAGATCTCTATGAGTTCAAGTCCAGCCTGGTCTACAGAGCTAGTTCCAGGGCAGTCAGAGATACTCAGAGAAACCCTGTCTCTAAAAACAAAACAAAACAAAACAAATGTTCAAGAAGGAAAAGCAAATAATTTAGAAGTAGTTTGTAGCTGATAGCACCAAAGGCGCGGAGATACCTCAGCTGCAGCGAATAGATGGTAAGGAAGGCTGACTTCTGAAGGGCTGAGCATTAGGAGAGGCTGCGACTCCTCTGGACCTTGAAAGCAGATCTCAAAGACTGGGATTGCTCAACCAGCTGGATTTCTGGCTTCACCAGGCCCTCACAGCCCTGGCTGCAGGCACACCAGAGAACAGGACTTTGATTTGGTTTTGTGTGGCTTTTGGGTTATGGTTTTGCTTTAGTTACTCTTCCTATAGATGTGACAAAGACCCTGAAGGACAAAATAAGGGTTGGCTTTGTCTCAAGGTGGAGAGTGGGGGAGTTCCCCTCACCCCCTCCCTTGCCCCTTTTCTCTTCTCTCCTTTGTTCCCTTCCCCTTTTCCCTCTCTCTCTATCTCCTGTCTTTATCATCTCTTATTCCCTAGCCTTTGTCCCTCTGGGGCAAATACATCTCCTTTGTTCTGAGTACTTGGTCTTAGGGTCCTGAGCCTCTATTTTTCCTTTCAATGGTGGAAGCCATGGCAGCAGGAGCTTGGGGCAGCCAGCACATGGCATCCACAGTCAGGATGCCGAGAGAGATGAACACGGCAGCTCAGTCCACTTGATCTTTTCCCGGAGTTCAGGACCTCAGTCCATTGGATGGTGCCACTCACGGAGTGAATCTCTTCTGCTCACCTGAACCTTTCTGGAAACACTCTCATAAATACACAACAGAGACATGTTTCCATGGTGATTCTAAACCCTATCAAATTGACAACGAAGATCAACTATTACAGATATACATGTGACACATGCATACACACACACACACACATACACAAACACACATGGGAGGGCACTGGCCTGGAACTCACTGTGTAGCTCAGGATTGACCTCAACATTGTGGTTCTTCTTCCTTTACCTCCTGAGTGCTGGAATATAGGAATGTGTCACTGAGCTCAGATTTAATGTTTTTGATATGTTCCCAATTAGTCAGGGCAAAAGGGAAAAAAAAATTCTTGTGCCAAGTCACAGGGCTTTGCTTTTGGAGAATTATCTAGAAAAGGGAAGTTCAAATTGGAATACTCACCACAAGGCTGAATTTGGTGCCATGGCTCTTGCTGGTGGATCCTGGGTAGCTTTTGTGGGGTCTAGATACAAACCTAGGTTAAGACACTCCTCTCAGCCTGAGGGCACCTGATCCCAAGTGGGCATTCTCACATCATCGGTCCTGGATTTGGTGTTACTAACCTTGAACTCTGAAAATCTCTGTCCTTGAAGCAGGGCAGTGAGCCAGCATCTTGGTTTGATTTGCCTGCGTGGCGATTGCCCTGTGGATGGGGCACAGGCTTGGCTCCTCTTTAAAGGGCCCTGAGGCTGGTCAGTGGGTCCAGTGCCCAGACCAGCACCTGGAATTTGCTCTTTTGACCTTGCACACCTCTATCTCCTGGATTCGTTTCCAGCGACTATCCGGGAACCCCGGTCAAGTTTGCTGTAAGTGGGGGCAAGCATTTAGACTGCCATCTTCCAGCTACGTTCCCTGGTATCAGCCGCCTCCTCGCCACTCAGCAGCTGCTCCCTTCTACCACCTTCCCTTTCTCTCGCAGTGCGTGATTTTGCTTCGGTGATTTTAGCGCGCGTCAGAGTCCCGCTACTTTTCTACTCTATCGTCTATTACCGTTTCTTATGGATGCGTCGGATTCTTTTCCTACCTTGAAAATACAGGGAGACAGAAAGGAAGTAACAAGGCTACTGATTTAGAAACGAATCACTTCTGTTCCAGAAGCCCGTTTTTTTTTTTTTTAATCCTGCGATCCACTGCTCAAGATACAATTTCTCAACAGGAAACACCTGTATGGATTATTTCGCTACAACCCCATGATGCTTGGACTGGAATCCCTCCCAGACCCCACGGACACCTGGGAGATTATAGAAACCATTGGCAAAGGCACTTACGGAAAAGTCTACAAGGTAGCCAACAAGAGAGATGGGAGTCTGGCGGCTGTGAAGATCCTGGACCCCGTGAGTGTGAGTAACGGAGGGGATTGTACCCACATCTGGTGTGTCAGACACACTGGGTCGGCCATTTCTTTTTTTCTTTTCTTTTTTCTTTTTTTTTTTTTTTTTTTTTTTTTTTTTTTTTT